TGTGAGAATGACTCCGGATCAATGATGAACTTGAAGTAATGAATCTTATCAATCGCTTGCTCTTCAAACACTCTCTTCAGTGTGTATAATAAAATGGACACATCTCTTGTAGTTGTCTCTTCCTTTTCTCGAACCTCAGTCAATTCCTTTGGTCGCTCTGTCGTTACAGATTTTGATGCTCTTTTCGCTTGTCGTGGACTTTTCTGAACAACAGGCACTGGATCAAGAGCTCCGTGACTAATTAATTAATGATTAATAGGCGTGGCATGTTGCTATAGTGACTCACAGAACCTGTGTAGTAGGAGCAACTTTAAAAGATTTAATGAAAAGCTTTCCCAGCACAGTCCAGTCAGGAGGACTATCTAGCCCACCACCCATCAGAGACAACTACACAATAATAATCATTATTATTATTATTATTATTATTATTATTATTATTATTATTATTATTTTTCAACAAACAGGGCTAAACAAGTTAAAAACAAAGTTGAAAGAAATAAAGAAGGAAAATTAGATAATATAGTGTATGTAGCTAGTATAATAATAATAATAGTAATAATAATAACAATAATTTCAAAACTATAGCACTATAGAAAATGTAAATCAATTGAAAAATGAAATTCGGAATTAGCTAAAGCTCATAAGTAAATGTATATTAAAAAGTAATGGTTCATTACTGACCAGTTTTTCACAATAAACCTGTTCATTAAAATGAACCAGTTCCCCTCTTGAGCCTTGGCTCTGGCATCTAGCAATTTCTGACAGCAGTTTGAAGTGCTTAGAATCAATAGCTGCTTCACGTGGCAATGTAACTAATAATAACAATAAGTATAATCACACCTTCAATAAATGCAATCAAATACCTCTATCATATAACTTGTCACCTTCTTCTAGTTGCTTTAATAATACATCGGGATTACTCATCACCTCCCTAGTACCTGCAGGAGGGTTGGTCTAACTCATAATAGTATAAGCATTGATGCACTCTCACGTTGTGTCTCCAGAAGGTTCTCTCTCAGCTCCTGTCTTAAGTCTCTTCTAAAGGCAGTGTCCCACCTAATATCAGATCCCTCACCCTCAGAAGAACCAGATGCCATTCTGTTAAAGTGTGATACTCACAAATAGAGTCTGAGCTAGTCTAAACTTTTCTTGTAACTTGTTGCCCCTAGCCACGTGGTCACATGTGAGTGAGCGTGCATGGGCGCGGCCAGATCAGCAGTGGGTGTGTCCTTTAAATGATGGCTGCTCTTATTCAATAGTACAAAGGTGCTCGCAGTATTTGACTCCTTTCCTTTATTCTCTTTTCTTGTGTAGAACTGCCATCAACCTACCAGATGGATAGTGGCTGGGCCTAAAAGTAACAACAAATTCAGTGACTGGGAAGCACTAATAATGAAATAACATTGTGGTATGGTTTATTTTTGTTTGTTTAAGGAGAACTAAGAATAATTATATAATGTATACAGAGTACTAATGATCCAGCTATTAATTCTGAACGTGTTTGTGCGTGTGTGTGGGGCGGGGGGGGGAGAAACTATGACAAAACAAGCAATCCGTTAATTAATTATAACATATTAATGTGATTTTGAAATAGTTCTTTCGTATAACTAGTTTTTGAATGTATCTACATGCATAGATTTGTATGGGTAATTACTCATATTATCTTATTTACACTTGTAGAATAAACCACTTCAATCAAGGCAGCTAAAGAATGCCCCCAGTTTCATAAAGTCATTCATAACAAGACTTAAACTCAAATGGAAGTACACTGAAGTGTATTTTAATGTGCCTGTCTATTTTACAATATTTGTTTTCTATTTGTACATTTAATCACAAATGTGTGGTTACACATGTATGCGCTTACATTAATACATTGCTCAACAAGTAGGTACACAGTGTTAGCTCCAATGCCATCAGATTCACGTTATAGTGTAGATAACCATTGGTATTGATGACAGGAATGAGTACATGTCGTTTGGAGTCCCTCGAGTCAAACCTGAGGTGACAGTCTCAAGCAATGGCTCTAAGCTCTATGTACTACTGAGTGTATAATCCAATGAAACAAAGCACAAGGTAGGAAATCAACCTGTTAGATGCCTGAATACTACTCTAAACATTAATTAACTACTACTAACCAATGCTACACAACCTCCTTGTACTAACATTAAATTCTAAATATTATAAAATAGATATTTCTCAATAGCACTGTTCACATTAATACACTGCTCAAATGTGTACACAGGTTTAGCTCAAATGCTATCAGATTCACATTATTGTGTAGATAACCATTGGTATTTATAACAGGAATGAGTACATGTAGTTTGGAGTCCCTCCAGTCAAACCTGAGGTGACAGTCTCATGCAATGCCTCAAAGCTCTTTGTACTGCTTAGTGTCTATTGCAATAAAACAATGTACAACTGGATTAGTCAAGGACAAGACTCTCATTCCTAAAGAGTACTTTTAATTAGTCTGCAGTTTGAGCACTTAGAATGTTTTCATTATGGTACAGACTAGGAGTACAGAATCATCTTCAATGTTTGGACTACAGCACACAATCATAATGAATCAAGTCTGAATTTTGGGGGTGCCTTAGCAATGATTTAGCACTCTAAACTAAACCTCAGTGATGATATTGTACTCCAAACTGCACCTCAACGATATTTTGTTCTCAGTCCTTTTTCAGCATCTAGGACCAGACTAATAGCCAAAGTCGCATTAAGGCTCAGATTATATTATCCTGCATCTTAACAAATGGTGTGATTGCATCAAGTCTCAGAAATGTTGTTTAAGGCTCAGACTATATTTGTCTGAGTCTTAAAGATTGCCACAGTTGCATTGAGGCTCAAATTATTATAATAACAATAAATTTTAAATTGATGATGGTCAATAGGACTGTTCACATTAATACACTGCTCAAGTATGTACACAGGGTTAGCTTCAATGCTATGACATTCACATTATAGTGTAGATAGCCAATGGTATTGATGACAGGAATGAGTACATGTTGTTTGGAGTCCCTCCAGTAAAACCGGAGGTGACAGTCTCAAGCAATGGCTCAAAGCTCTATGTCCTACTGAGTGTATAATCCAATGTAACAATGCACAAGGTAGGAAATCCACTTGTTAGATGTCTGAATACTAGTCTAATCATCGAATAACTACTACTTTAACAATACCAGACCATCTCCTGGTACATACATTAAATTTTAAAAATTATAAAATAGATATTTGTCAAGAGCATTGTTCACATTAATACACTGCTCAAATATGTACACAGGGTTAGCTCCAATGCTATCAGATTCACGTTATAGTGTAGATAACCGTTGGTATTGATGACAGGAATGAGTACATGTAGTTTAGAGTCCCTCCAGTCAAACCTGAGGTGACAGTCTCAAGCAATGGCTCAAAGCTCTATGTACTACTGAGTGTATAATCCAATGAAACAAAGCACAAGGTAGGAAATCAACCTGTTAGATGCCTGAATGCTACTCTAAACATTAATTAACTACTACTAACCAATGCTACACAATCTCCTTGTACTAACATTAAATTCTAAATATTATAAAATAGATATTTCTCATTAGCACTGTTCACATTAATACACTGCTCAATTATGCACACAAGGTCAGCTCAAATGCTATCAGATTCACATTATTGTATAGATAATCATTGGTATTGATGACAGGAATGAGTACATGTACTTTGGAGTCCCTCCAGTCAAGCCTGAGATGACAGTCTCAAGCAATGGCTCTAAGCTCTATGTACTACTGAGTGTATATTCCAATGAAACAAAGCACAAGGTAGGAAATCAACCTGTTAGATGCCTGAATACTACTCTAAACATTAATTAACTACTACTAACCAATGCTACACAATCTCCTTGTACTAACATTAAATTCTAAATATTATAAAATAGATATTTCTCATTAGCACTGTTCACATTAATGCACTGCTCAAATATGTACACAGGGTTAGCTCCAATGCTATCAGATTCACATTATAGCGTAGATAACCGTTGGTAGTGATATCAGGAATGAGTACATGTAGTTTAGAGTCCCTCCAGTCAAACCTGAGGTGACAGTCTCAAGCAATGGCTCAAAGCTCTATGTACTACTGAGTGTATAATCCAATGAAACAAAGCACAAGGTAGGAAATCAACTTGTTAGATGCCTGAATACTACTCTAAACATTAAATAACTGCTACTAAACAATACTAGACCATCTGGTTGTACCATAAAATGTAGAACACAGTAAATAAACTTCTTTTTTAAATCCAGAGCATAAATTCTCCTTTCTTAGAGTACAAGAGCCAGAAGTTAGAAAAAAAAAACAAAAATAAACCACTGTTGATTTCATCAGTTCTGAACTCTACCATAAGAAAGCAATCAAACTCTAGTCTCACGTAGCAAAAGCACACTTCTGCAGAAAAATTTTTTGATAAAAAAGAAAGGCCTAATGGCTAGACGACATATGCAGACTGCTTTCAAACCATTAGTTATATGTACATATTGTACATGTTACAATTATTATTTTACCTTGTGTGTCTTGAGCATGACTAGAAATTGACAGAGAAGCCAGAACTACACCTTTGAGGTTCTCTTTGAAAGGACGTGGCTAATGAAGTTTTGAGCCACACCTCCTCTTTCTAGTACAGCTACAGTAGAGGACACGATAGCTATATAAAGCCGTGCTTAAGTGTTTGCCATTCAAAGGTGACTCTTCATGGATTATATAGACCTTTAGTAATAAATGAATTGACTTGACTAAAAAAATTGAATAAAAAGAAAATGAAGTTAATCATGAAGTCAGTTACAGTAGACAATCAGTGTCAGTTCATGCAGTTAATGTATGAAAGAAAGAGGTATTCACTGTCTCTTCTTGATCATTGATTCAGTTATGTCATACTTGTCAATCAAGTCCTGCAGTAAATTAACAATAAAAATTAATAATGAATAAATAAAATCACCTTCCACATCTTCATGTTGATTGAGATGATTCCTTGATTGGTGCCTCCTGTAGCCTCACCCCCTCCAATGTTTACTAAACAACAACAAAATAATAATGATAATAATAAACATAAACAATGTCTTACAGTGAATGTAGGGTTCCCCGTTTTCTATAATTAGACCAGCCCGACCCTCCTACAAAAAGAGATTCAGTACATTTCAGTATATCACAGTATGTTTCTCAGTATATGTCATACCTTAATGAGAAATGCAAAATGGAATATATTCTCCACAGTGTGTGAGAATGACTCCGGATCAATGATGAACTTGAAGTAATGAATCTTATCAATCGCTTGCTCTTCAAACACTCTCTTCAGTGTGTATAATAAAATGGACACATCTCTTGTAGTTGTCTCTTCCTTTTCTCGAACCTCAGTCAATTCCTTTGGTCGCTCTGTCGTTACAGATTTTGATGCTCTTTTCGCTTGTCGTGGACTTTTCTGAACAACAGGCACTG